CTCACTCCGGCCAAAAGTTTTCATTCATCTGGGTCACTCAGGATTAACTTAAAAACAGTATGGCTTCTAGAAATCAAGTTATGCTTTTATTATATGCATAGGATGAAATGAAGAACAGAACAAATATTTACTTAAACATAATAACATAAACATAAAAAATTAAAACATAAATCAGGGATTTATAAATTCATCTTTAAAAAGGTTTACAACTAAGGATTTCCCTTTCGGGAAGTCCCTAAAGTTCTAAAATAAATTTAAAGGAATACAAAAATACCTTAAATATTCACAAGGATGATTCAACTATACGATGTTTTTTGGATTGAGAATTTTTCTGGAGGAAAGGTTTCAAAGGATTTTTTAGATAGCAGAGAGTACACAGGTTATAAACTTCTGCCTAAACCAAATGAAACTTGTTCTTTAAATAGAAAAATTCTAGAGAGCAAAAAAGTCTATACTACACTTGAGGAAGGAACACGTTTCACCGAGAAACTTCTGGCCAATTCAAGATTTGACAAGTGGAAAGAAAAGTTTCTACTTTTGTTAAATTTTCTAAAGGTCTACAGTTGGGAATCTTAAAATTTCCACAACTTTACACAAAAGTCTAACAAAATATCCCGACATCTTTCAACAATAATGAATACAAAATCAAAAGGTCTATAGTATTGTGATAAGAATCTTCAGCTTTTTCTTCTTTTCTTCTTTCACTTTTGTCTTGTTCTGCATTATTGAGAGTCTTTATCTTGTATCAAGATTGTGGCGTGCCACTGATGAAAATGACATTCCACTGTCTGAATTATTGTATCCTTTTTCCTGTGGATCTTCTTCATCTGAAAGTCTGAAATTACTGGCTTCATCTTTTTCTTTTTGTTCTGGACATTCTGAAATTTCTTTCTCTACTTCATGATTCTTTTTTAACATTGTCTCGAATGCCTGATTAACTGCTTCTCTGATTTGTTCTTTCAATCCTTCATCATTTTTCTTCTTTTTAATCTTTTTCTTTTTTCTAGAAGAAGTTCCTTCATCTTTTTTGGATTGCTTTTGAAATTTTTCAATTTTTTCAAAAATCTTTTCTAAAGAGACAGTATCTGGATTAGGGTCTTGTGATTCTTGAAAGAATAAACAGTCTTGGCTATCTTGGGCTACCGTTTTTTCTTTTCCTTTACTAGACTGAATTTCTTGGGTTTGTGAAAATTCTGGGTTATTTGAAAAATGTTCTGGAGAAAAATGGTCTGGTGGACTATATTTGACTAAGTAATCAAATTTTCCACTGGGCTGTCCTAAAAGATCCCAGATTTTCTTACCCTTTTCTGTAGTAGATTTATCAGTCTGCTGAGTCTGATTTTCTAGTTTAGTAGAGGAATCAATAGTCCCCTGAGTCTGTTGGGCTTTTGGTAAGTCCACAACCTTTAACGGATTTGATAAGTCTTTACCAGCTACCGTTTGGGCTGGACTAGCTATGGTTTTCTTGGGCTCCATAGTACCTGTTGGATAATGGACTTTTAGTTCCAAAATTTCTTTTTCCAATTGAGCCACTTTCTTTTGGAGTTGGATTCTTTCTAGTGAAAGATTTTGGTTGGCTTCATTGATAACTTTATAATTTCTCTGCATACATTCACAATGTTGGCAGAAAATATTTTGGTCTTTACTTGGAGAGAAATCTAATGGAGGGTCTGAATAATTTTTTAAAGAAGGAGATAAGTAAAAATTTATTCCTATTTGTTGTCTTGCAACATCTAGTGCTTCTTGAAAATTTGTAAAACCTTTGTAAAGAGGGTCTGGAAAATTTTTAATGCAGTCTAAAATTTCTATCCAAGAATGGAAAATTCTTGGAGTTTTTCCTTTAATAACAACATAAAATTTAAATATTTGCTTGTTCTGACTAAAGTGTTCTGACAATGCATTCATACATGCAAGAAAATATTTCTGATCTTTTGGATTCTTATTATAGGAAATCCATAAATTGTCTAAAATACATTTCTCTTCTCTAGATAAAGATATATGCGGTAAGATTTTAAAAGAAATATTACTATTAGGAAAAACTATGAGTTCTTGGTTTCCAAACCTTAGTCTGTCTTGTAACATTGGTCTGTTCTGGTTAAATGGAGTCTGTGATAGTAATCTTGATGCAAATGAATTCCCAGGTGGAATTCCTGGTCTTATAGGCCTTGGTCTTGTCATCTGTATAGCAGAAATATGTTAAATAAATTTAATAATTTCTATCTATTATTATTCTACTTAATATGTCTGCTACTTTATTATCACTACCTTTGATATGCTCAAATTTTATATTGATTCCTGTATTTGTAATTCTATCTATAAAATTTAACCATCTTCTTCTACTACTTTTTTTTGAATCTATTTTCATTTTATTGACAAAAGAAATTATAGCTACATAGTCTGTTCTTATGGTTATTTCTTTCTTAGATATAATAAATAGTTCAGAACTATCTAATGCATAATTAATAGCTAATAATTCTGCATTTATACTACTTAAATTTCCTTTCTCCTTATAATTTTCACTGTTATACCTACAAATTCTTTCTGTACTTTTATCAGTATATTTATTGGGTTTGCATATTTATATAGCTCCCATCCTATCATACTTCCATCTGTCTCTATAATTAAATATTCTGATTTTAATGGCATAGCTAATTCTGGCAAAATTTTTATTTTTTCTTTTATTTGTTGGACTAGTTTTATATCTTCTTGGTTAAAGAATCTTTGTCCTGTAGGAGATATTTTTGCATATAAAGGTCCTGCTATTTTTCCTAAATCTTTTATAAATGGTCTAGCATAATTTACTAATCCTAAAAATTTTTGGATTTGTTTTAAATCTTCTAGTTTGTCTGGAAATTCTAAAGCTTTCTTAGCAATATGAGGTTGTAACTTTATTTTACCTTTTACTATATTAACTTCTAAAAAGTCTATAAATTCCTTAAATAAAGTCATTTTCTTCTTACTAATTATTAAACCATGTTTAATAAATTCTGAAAATACTATTTGTAAGTGTCCTTTATGTTCTTGTTTATTTTTACTAAATACTAAAATATCATCTATGTATACTATTACAAATTTACTATGTTTATTAAAAATGCTTTCCATTTTTCTTTGGAAAATACTTGGTGCATTCTTAATTCCAAATGGCATTACAAGCCATTCAAAATGTCCTTCTGGGCAGGTAAAAGCTGTCCATTTAATACTTTCTGGATACATTTTTATTTGCCAAAATCCTGACTTTAAATCAAATTTAGTAAAAATTTTACAGTCTTGTATTTTATTTATTAGCACTGTTTTGTCTGGTATATTATAGGCATTATCTATAGTATTATCGTTAAGTCTTTTATAATTAATTACCATTCTACTTTTTCCTCTAACAATTTCTCTGAATGTTTTCTGACTATAAAGGCTGCTGATCTATGAGAACTATCTGATTTTCTAATAACTCCTAATTCTAAGAGTTCTTTTATATGTATTTTAAAATCTTCTAGATCTAGATTTGTGGCTTCAATATTCTTAATTTTAATTATATATTCTGGGTTTTTAATTTTTAATTCACATAAGATTTTATCTTTTTCCCAATATTTTAAAACATTTTCTCCTATTATTTCCATCTTTTCTAGTCTAGAAATTAAAATTTCTATTTCTTGTTCTGTTATTAACATATCATAAATCTTTTCATTATCAATTAATTCTATAATTCCAAAATCTATGTTTTCTAATTCATCCTCTAAATTATCTAATTCATCTTCTTTTAAATTGTCTTCTTCTATTAATTGACATTCTCTTTCTTTTTCACACTTACAGTTATTACTACTACTTCCACCACGCTTCTCTATGCACTCTGATGGGAAATAGGTAGTCTGTGTTGGTGTAAATAAGGTATGTTTTTGTAAATGTAAAAAGTCTTTAGTAATTGTAACACTTCTATTATCTTTTAATAAAAAACTTAATCCTATATTAAAATCTGTATCTTTAATAATTAAAGGTCTAACCCAAACTGATTCTTTTGGTAAAGTATATTCTATACTTCTACCACAGTTTGTCTCAAAACTGATCTTACTATTTGATTGTAATAATTCTTTATAAGTATAAAATTCTCCATCCATTTGTTGTGCTTCTATTGGTTTATCTGAGTATATTATATATTGTTCTGGAATTAATTTTTTATTAATTATACAATTACTACATCCTGAGTCTATTAATTCTAAACATTTTATTTCATATTGTCCTATTCTTATATAACATTTTACCTTAATACTTTTAAGTTTTTCTGGATTACATATTACCTGAACATATTCTTTTTCTTTGTATTCTATACCTTGACTATGTTCTTCTATTTCTATTGTTTTTCCTTTATTATTATATTCTAACATTTTTATCTTGTTTATTATAAATTTTTGCATTTCTTCTAGGCTTTCAATTCTTTTTCTGAGAATTTTTATTTCTGATATTTCAATTTTTTCTTTTAAAATTTCTGAATTAACTTCTTATTTTTTTATAAGATTCTTTTCTTCTAAGCATTTTATACATGCTTCTTTATAACATTTTAAACATTTAGCTCTAAGCTTTCTTACTGGGTACCAATTACACAAGTAACAAGCTATATTATCTGCTCCTTTATATTTTTGCCAATTATGTAGACATTCTATAATTACATTGTTCATTAAGTTTAATTCTTCTTCCGATTTTGATTCTTCTTGTAATCTTATATTAGAGAATTCATCTATTATTTCATAATCAGATTCTTTATTTTCTTCTAAATTTTTATCTTCTATTGATATAATACTGTAAATAGATTCTTTATCTGAGATATATTCATCTAATTGTATTAAGTCTTCATTAGTGCATTCTATTAATGTACTCTTTTTATCATAATTATTTATTCTTTTTGGACAAGTCTTAGTTAAATGTTCATTACTATTACATACATAACAACTAAGTCTATTTTTATAAGTTCTTTCTGGTTTGAATTTTCTAACATGCCTTTTTTATCTAAGTATGGTTTTCTTTTATTAGATTTTCTAAGAAAATATCTTTTCTTAAAAGATCTTTTATTCTTTCTTTCTTTATTACTATACTTATTTTTTCTTAAACTAGAGGCTCCATAAGTTTGTGGGGTAAAAATATCTTTACAAAATTTATAATCTGTCTTTTTAAGTTGTTTTTGAATTTGTAATTCTACACATTTATCTTCTAAGCATCTTATTACATGTTGTATTCTTTGTCCTATACTCCATTGTTTTTCTAGTTCTTCTTTTACTGCTGGTAAATTATTCCATTTATCTGTGATTTCTAATCCTAATGGTCCTGTTAATTTATGAAATAATTTATTTCCTATTTCTTGATTAAATGTATTTCCTGATATTGAAGTTAAGTAATGATACTCATTTAAAAAGTTCTTAACATATCTTCCTTTAGTCCATTTATAAAGACTAAGTTGTTCTAAATCTCTCGTAGCTTTTCTTTGTATACTCATGAGTCCTGAATTTGGATCTGCTCCTGTTATTAAGATTTGTATTTTATTAACAAAATTATAAGGATTACTTCCCATACTGATTAATTGTTCAAATTCTTGTTTCTTTTCTAATTTAAATGCTTTCCACATAGCTTTTACACTTTCTCCTAAGAATGTTTCTAAATATCTATACATATGTAAAGCTTCCATTTCTTGAAAATTTCTAATATAGTGTCCTATTATAGTGTTTTTCCATACATCTATTACATTATTCCATGTCTGTGGGTCATGTGCTGTAATATTTAAAATTTGTGCTTTATGGTCTGATTGGAATTCTATTTTCTTTTCTAAGTGTCTTTCACTTCCTCTTGCTATGTATTTTCCTTCTGTATTATTATATAAAGGATAAGCTCCTCTTAGAGGAAATCCTCCACTATAGACCATTGTTTCATATTTAACTGTTCTATCAAAAGGACTGTCACTAAAAGTTCTATATGTATTTGAATCTTCCATAAGTTCTTTTATATAACTAAAATCTGAATTATTTGAATTATTATTTTCTTTAATAGTTCCTATTCTTATATTTTGTTCTTGATCATAATATAAATATTCAGATTCTATAATTTTCTTATTAAGATACATTTGATCTTCTAATTCCAACAGTTCTTTATTATCTAAATTTATTCCTAATTCTTTTAGATAAATTATTCTATCATATTCTTCATCTATTAATTCTAGACGAACTTGATTTTGAAATGAAAATAGATTCAAAAAGAATTACAAATACAGGAATCAATATAGAATTTGAGCATATCAAAGGTATTGATAATAAAGTAGCAGACATATTAAGTAGAATAATAATAAATAGAAATTATTGAATTTTTTAAACATAATTCTGCTATACAGATAACAAGACCAAGGCCTATAAGATCAGGAATTCCACCTGGGAATTCATTTGCATCAAGATTACTACCACAGACTCCATTTAACCAGAACAGACCAATGTTACAAGACAGACTAAGGTTTGGAAACCAAGAACTCATAGTTTTTCCTAATAGTAATATTTCTTTTAAAATCTTACTGCATATATCTTTATCTAGAGAAGAGAAATGTATTTTAGACAATTTATGGATTTCCTATAATAAGAATCCAAAAGATCAGAAATATTTTCTTGCATGTATGAATGCATTGTCAGAACACTTTAGTCAGAACAAGCAAAGATTTAAATTTTATGTTGTTATTAAAGGAAAAACTCCAGGAATTTTCCATTCTTGGATAGAAGTTTTAGACTGCATTAAAAATTTTCCAGACCCTCTTTACAAAGGTTTTACAAATTTTCAAGAAGCACTAGATGTTGCAAGACAACAAATAGGAATAAATTTTTACTTATCTCCTTCTTTAAAAAATTATTCAGACCCTCCATTAGATTTCTCTCCAAGTAAAGACCAGAATATTTTCTGCCAACATTGTGAATGTATGCAGAGAAATTATAAAGTTATCAATGAAACCAACCAGAATCTTTCACTAGAAAGAACTCAACTCCAAAAGAAAGTGGCTCAATTGGAAAAAGAAATTTTGGATCTAAAAGTCCATTATCCAACAGGTACTATAGAGCCCAAGAAGTCCATAGCTAGTTCAGCCCAAACGGTAGCTGGTAAAGACTTATCAAATCCGTTAAAGGTTGTGGACTTACCAAAAGCCCAACAGACTCAGGGGGCTGTTGATTCCTCTACTAAACTAGAAAATCAGACTCAGCAGACTGATAAATCTGCTACAGAAAAGGGTAAGGAAATCTGGGATCTTTTAGGACAGCCCAGTGAAAAATTTGATTACTCAGTCAAATATAGTCCACCAGACCATTTTTCTCAAGAATATTTTTCAAATAACCCAGAATTTTCACAAACCCAAAAAATTCAGTCTAGTAAAGGAAAAGAAAAAACGGTAGCCCAAGATAGCCAAGACTGTTTATTCTTTCAAGAATCACAAGACCCTAATCCAGATACTGTCTCTTTAGAAAAGATTTTTGAAAAAATTGAAGAATTTCAAAAACAATCCAAAAAAGATGAAGGAACTTCTTCTAGAAAAAAGAAAAAGATTAAAAAGAAGAAAAATGATGAAGGATTGAAAGAACAAATCAGAGAAGCAGTTAATCAGGCATTCGAGACAATGTTAAAAAAGAATCATGAAGTAGAGAAAGAAATTTCAGAATGCCCAGAACAAAAAAAAAAAGATGAAGCCAGTAATTCCAGACTTTCAGATGAAAAAGAAGATCCAAAGGAAGAAGGATACAATAATTCAGACAGTGGAATGTCATTTTCATCAGTGCCACGCCACAATCTTGATACAAGATAAAGACTCAATAATGCAGAACAAGACAAAAGTGAAAGAAGAAAAGAAGAAAAAGCTGAAGATTCTTATCACAATACTATAGACCTTTTGATTTTGTATTCATTATTGTTGAAAGATGTCGGGATATTTTGTTAGACTTTTGTGTAAAGTTGTGGAAATTTTAAGATTCCCAACTGTAGACCTTTAGAAAATTTAGCAAAAGTAGAAACTTTTCTTTCCACTTGTCAAATCTTGAATTGGCCAGAAGTTTCTCGGTGAAGCGTGTGCCTTCCTCAAGGGTAGTATAGACTTTTTTGCTCCCTAGAATTTTTCTATTTAAGGAACAAGTTTCATTTGGTTTAGGCAGAAGTTTACAACCTGTGTACTTTCTGCTATTTAAAAAATCCTTTGAAACCTTTCCTCCAGAAAAATTCTCAATCCAAAAAATATTGTATAGTTGAATCATCCTTGTGAATATTTAAGGTATTTTTGTATTCCTTTAAATTTATTTTAGAACTTTAGGGACTTCCCGAAAGGGAAATCCTTAGTTGTAAACCTTTTTAAAAATGAATTTATAAATCTCTGATTTATGTTTTAATTTTTTATGTTTATGTTATTATGTTTAAGTAAATATTTGTTATGTTCTTCATTTCATCCTATGCATATAATAAAAGCATAACTTGATTTCTAGAAGCCATACTGTTTTTAGGTTAATCCTGAGTGACCCAGATGAATGAAAACTTTTGGCCGGAGTGAGTCTTTTGATATTTTCTAGAGATGTTGGGAAAAGGGAAAAAATAAATCTAAGAATTTTATAAGGGAGTGCCATGGGTGACCTTATAAAAAGGAATCAGGTTCAAGTTTATATGTCATAGGTGGTGAAAATTTAAATGAAAAAAAAAAAAGGGGATTTATATATGATTCTTAAGAAAGAGTTATAGAAAACTAAGGAGAGTACTGAGTAGGATTAAAGTTATTAAAAGTTAAAAGTTTAAACAAAACATCTCATTAAAACAGCCATCTACAACAGCCAGAATTATATATATTCTTGCCAGAATTTACTGTATTCATTCCAAGTTTTTTATTTAGCAGATACGAACTGGCTTTTTTGGGGGGGGGGGGCAAATGAGGTGGTTGTTAGGACTTAGGTGGCCTGATTATGATGCTGACATTTCAGCTTCAGCATCATTTATGCGATCAGTGCTTTCCATTTTTATATCCTCTGTAGCAATCAAGTTCTCAGAATCTCTCTTTATGCCATCTCTTTTGGACATTTGAAGTTCCCAAACTAAAAATAGTTATTTTTTGCTATCGTACTGAAATTAATAACAGGACGGTTCCTGGCACCCTCCTATCATCGCTGATGAACAACTTGATGTTCCTATGTGGAATCCAGTGCTATTTAAACACCCCTCAAACGAATTGCTTCTGTTCTATAAAATTGGGCAAGACGTTCAGAAGTAAGTTCTCAAATCTGTTTTCTCTGTCTGTGCTATTATTTTTTGCTGATTAATAGTGATTAGCAGTGTTTTCATTTAAGTTTTGAAATTCTTCCTATTATACTTGCCCATGGAAGTCCTGTGGTAGGTGGCAGTTAAACAGAATTTATGTTAGATATAGCAATCGTACTAAAAGATGTGTGTGATGGAGCAACAGTCGTAGGCGTGAGATCTAGTGGCGGTAATAGTAGATAATTCCTATTATTTTAGTCTTGCATTAATGTTCTCGATGCAGAAACGTAACAATTTGACAAGAATAAGAAAGCAATAAGAAAATAAAGGGGATCAAAGAAGAGAAAAATCAAGGATTCCTGTTACATGAATAAGCCATCTATAAATAGAGCAACTAAGCTAACATCCAAGAACTTCTAATAAATTAGAACTTTGTTAAAATATTAAAAGTAACCTAATCTAATTGAAACACTCATAATTCGAATTAAACTCTCTTAAAATCCAAAGTCTATCTTTATCTCCATCATTTCTCTTCAACTGAGAGAACTCGACTCTGACAAGGTAGATTGAAACTTTATACCTCAAGGAGGCAGATCTTTTGCTTTGACCAAGTGTCATTATTGAACTCTTGACAGCAACATATAGCTTAACCCGTACCAATGGCCAAGGAGTGATATTTCTTATGAATCAAATATGGATGGCAAGTTTTAAAAAGCAAAAGCTAATGCAACTCAACCACAGGTCCACAAGTTCCAAGATATGTTATTCATTAATGACATATATAGCTTTTCTTGATGAGGCTTAGAAAGGAATAAATCATAAGTTGGAACTTTAGCAGAACATTTTGAAACATGTTGCTTTAGAGGGGAACCCTGAGGGGTAGCTTAGTGATCAGGCCTTGGGTTTGCTCCCCAATGGTCACCAGTTCGAGCCTCCTCAAGGTCACTGAAGTGAGTACCCGACTGCAAACTTTATGATCCCGTGGAATTAGTCGTCCACGATCATTATTAAAAAAAAAAAAAATGCTTTAGAGGGGAAGTAGAACTAAGCTCCCGTTTGGTAGCAAATTTTTACCCGTTATTTTACTATATCAGCCGTTATTTTTGACTTATTCTCTTACGGGTAGGACTCACTTTTCTCTCTAATGGTCTAAAAATCAATTCACATAATCACTACCGAACAGACCCTAAGATAGAATACATGAAAAATGTCATTGTGATTATAGTTATAATAAGAATAATAGTGAAGTCATTTCCAGAAAGTGATTATTTAAATATTTAGGTTTGATTATAAAGGAGGACCTAATGATGTAATACAGCCTCCATTTGGATACAAATTTTTAAAATAATTTATAAATTTAGACAAAGTCAAACATTAATTTCAATCTACATTTATAACTTCTACTCGTTGTTGTCCATACATTTCGTGGGTCCACTGCTATCTCTCTTGCTATTCCACTTTATAAACTATTTGGGCCCCATTTTGGGAATCGATTTTTAGGTTTTTAAATGACTGATTTTGAGCATTTGTGAGAGGTTAGACTTTAGGTATTTTTAGTATTGATTTTTAAAACAGTCCAACCTATTCATGGGAGTTTATTATCCAGGGATTTTGATATTTTTATTTTATTTTTTTTGAAGAATAAATTACATAGATGCTTGTATATAAAGGTAGGTATATGTAAACAATATGGAGTAAATGTGTTTCTCACTTCTTACCATTCAATATGACTTTCCATAGTTTACCAAATCATTTTTTATTGTGTATTGACTAACCTTAATTTGAACTAATTATTGTTACATTGAATAAACTCTTGCTTGCCAATCATTTTCTATTTGATTATAGGATGAAGGAAAACGAATATATTTGTGAAACTAATTTCGTAGAGTATGTAAATTTACTCTTCTGCTAAATACTTCTTAAGAGATGATATTCATTTTTTCGAACTTAGTTAAATTTCCAATTTTTAATTTGTTATGTTAATATTTTTATACCCGTGAGTGATATTTTGCTTATTAGTTAATTTTTTTTTACACGTAGGGAATCTTAAACTAAATACTTGGTGGAAGGTATGAAATGATTTAATAAAAAAAAGTAACAAAAAGAAATGTTAATAGGAAGATTTGTCCTATACGAGTAAATCAAAATCGGGCTAATCTTTACCCGAAGTAGAGCGTAAACCTAAAAGGATGAAAGAGACTTGTTTAGGAATAAGAAAATACCATCTAATAAGCGATTTTCTACGTGTAAGTCAATTTTTTTAATTATAAAGTAAATTTTTTTGTTATACATAATTTTTTTGGTTATTGTATTTTTATTATAAGCAATATTTTTTTTATATGTATAATTGTTTTTTTTTATTGTAAGTGACTATTTAAAATACTTTTTAAGAAATGACATCCATCAATTTTGAATAAAATATGTGAGTTGGAAATAATTGTTTTAGAGAAGGTAAAATTAGGAGAAAATTTGAGAAATTCCAAAATTATCGATTTGTTGGGTTGAGAAATACAACCTAAATTACACTTCACAGGTTTTGAATTTTTTTAAATAACCTAAAACTAGTTCCCCCCCAAAAAAACTAACAAGCGCTAATTTTCAAGAACAATGATGTTAAGATTGATTTGTGATCTTGATAGATTGGATAAAATTAAAAAATTCGAGAACCTATGATATCTTGTAGTTTTTGTTGAAATTCTTTCAGCAGTTAAATATAAAAGAGCAAGATGGATCATCTTGAGTAGGCTTCATTTTAGCGTCATTTTCTCTGTTTTAGAGAGTAAAATCTATTTTTGAGGTGTCCAATACACTCTTTACCTTCAAAAATTAAAATAATAGTGGATTTGATTTTCCAAATGTATTGAGCCAATACACTCTTAGACAATGTTTTGTTTATTATTGCACATTTTTGTTGTTTGTTTCTTTGATTTCTTCATATAAAAAAGAGGGAAGTGAAATAAAAAAGAGGAAATTCTTAAAAAATTGGGAAAAGGATGAAAATGTTGCTTATGGGAAAATGCATATTAATAAATGAATATCGAGAGTGTTCTTGGAGAACTGTAAAATGTTTTGACTCTTTATTTTTTAGAATTCCTTGAGATGCTCTTTATATTATAGAAGATGTTCTTTAAAATAAGGAGCACTATTGGAGATGCTCTTACATTATGAGGAGGTATATAGCTAGTGTCCTATAATGTTGTGTTGATTAAAAAAGTGGTTGAGCTTATTTGTAGAACAGAGGTCTGGAGAAAATCAGGTTCTCTTTAAGATGTCAAATCTACGTATAAATTTTTTCTAACTTCATCATGCTACTATCTTCTAACTTAGATGGAGTGGATGCATGAAGCGATCGTATGATGGTGGAGTCACCTGGTCAGAAAGAGAACAGCTTCCACCTGGTATACTAGGACCAATTAAGAACAAGGTATAGCTTTATTCATTCATGTCCGTTTCATTAGACTTGAGGTGATACTAATGTTACTTATACTTAATTATCTTCCTCAGCCTATTTTGATAGAAAATGGTGACTTGCTTTGCGGATCTTCTGTTGAGAGCTGGAATTCTTGGGGTGCATGGATGGAGGTTGTACTCAGATCCAGCCTCAGACTGCTTAAAGGAGAAAAAATGACTATTGACTGACTCAAGATTCGTAATTTTGTGAAACAGATAACTGCAGACTTGGGTAGGTCATGGAGAAAGTATGGCCCAATATACATTAAGGATAAGTCTCTTAGTGTGATTCAACCAGTTCCTTACCAGACTGCCAATGGGACCATTCGTGTACTTCTGAGATCCTTTGACGGAATTAATAGAATATGCAAGTCAGAATCCAGTGATGGTGGACATACCTGGGATTATGCAAGGCCAACAGAATTGCCAAATCCAAATTCAGGTTGTGAACTGAAACGAACTATTTCTAAATTGAGGGCTTATATGTTTTGTCTCCTAAATGGCAGAAAAAAAGTGTTTTTTCAAAGTTCTATTAAAGACATCTTTACAATGTTATTAATTGGGCGGCTGTAGGACAAAAAGTTATACTATGGAAGTACTTATGAATCTTTCCTGTAATTTCATGAATTGAAATTGGTTGACAGGAATCGATGGGGTTAAGCTGAAGGATGGCCGTCTTGTACTTGCTTATAATACAATCTCCAGGGGTGTGCTTAAAGTTGCTCTCTCTTCAGACGGTGGAGACTCGTGGCACGATGTTGTCACACTGGAGGAGACTTCGGGGATGGAATTTTCTTATCCAGCTGTTATCCAAGCCAGTGATGGATTAGTGCACATCACTTACACTTATAATAGGACGCAAATCAAGGTACCAACTGTATTCTTTGAATGAATGGTATATGATGGTTGAATTTTATTTGCTTTACCTGTTTTAGATTTCATCTTGTATCTGTTTTCTGTTCTTTTCCTTTTCCAGCATGTTGTCTTAAATCCTAATTGATACACTGGAGCATATCTGGGGAAATTTCTGATCTAAAAAGGTACTTCCACCTCCGCCTTGTACTTTGGAACCAGTTAACTTTAATGATATCTGTAGAAAATAATGTCTCCTACCATCTAGTTAATGAAAATAACTTAAGGCCCTATTTGATCCACATTATTTAGAAAAAATACATTCTTAAACAGTGATTTGACATTATTTCAACCACACATTCTTTAATAAAATAATATTACACGCAAATGCATAACTTTTCTTTATTTTGAACCACACATTTTCCACTTATACACTGTTCAAAAATTCATTTTTATGAAAATAATGTGGCTCAAACAAGGGCTAAACTGCTTTAATATTTTATGTTATAACTTATGAGCTAATCCTGATAAAACTCATGGATTTTATCTATTAATTTTTTATTTTTCATTGTCAATTATATTTTTACCCAAGTTTCTACTTATGTATAAAACAGAGCAATATCATGACTTATTGAGGGTATAATTTAAAGCTCAGATCTTCCATTAACAATTAAAATTCCTTCTTTCATAAATATACAACTTGGATCTATTAGGACATGTAATAAATATCATCTGCCCTTTAGCACATGGGATTGATCTGATGTCAAACTCTTGAGTATGAAATTGGGAAGACCTGTCTTAATTTTACTTTGTCAAGGACTTTCTTTTTGCCAGTGTTCTAAAAGCTTTTAAGTGTGGCTAGGCGGCAATGCCAAGATTCGCCTAGGTGAGTATTTAGAACAATGCTTTTTGCAAATGATCCATAGGATTTGGTTTTTAAAACTTCTCTTATTAAAAGAAAAATTCATTTAGTATTTGCTTTGATGCAAATTTCTATTGAAAGAAGATATACCATCGGATTAAAGAATGATCAATTATAGATTGTTTGATTCGTATCGTTTCTGGTTTGACTTATTAAGCTGAGCCTGATTTAACAACTAAGCACAATACAGTCAGCTTGTATAACATCATCTTGCTCATGATAAATTCGTTCTGTGAAAGTTCTGGAATAGCATCTTAATGGTCATGAATACCAATCTAAATGATTTATCTTGTGTTTCTAAAGTCTTCATCACTAGTTGTTATTCATGATCTTCCATCAAACAATGTGTTTAGAAACTACATCTAACATAGGTTTCTACTATGAAGCTTCCTCAATTATAATGCATGATTCTTTCTTATTTGAGGTCGAATGATAATAATGAACTAATTAATTCTATTTGTACATAATGATCTACACAATGGTGTACATGATGATGACATGGAAGAGATAAAAGTAGGTCTAGAATTGGTACTGCTTGCTATTGAGGAAAAAAGTAATGCAATGCAGATAGACGAGGTAGGTAATATCGATTAAAGCTCAGGCAAGCCCTTGAGACTGACCAGGTAAGGAGCAACGTCTGCCCACATTGCCTTTCCTTCTGATGAGGATTCGAGAGTTGTACGGAAATGGGATCCTCAATAGGCCCTAATTAAATAAACATATTCTAGAAGGATCAAGAAGATTGGTGAAGAATGGGGCTGCAACAAACTCTGTTAGAGAGGTAGAATGGAAAGGGAAAATCTGTTACAAGTAGCTTATAAATAGGTAAGAGTTGGAGGAGAATAGGCATGCAAACTAGTGAGTGAAAACTATATGGTGGAGAGCACAGCTCTCTCAAAAGGCTGATTGTATTTCGTTTATTCCTGTAATTCATCTTACCATTAATACATTTTTGTAATTTCTACAATTATTCATCTATCCCCAGGGGGTCCTTATCAAAGTGGTGTCAGAGCATCCAAATCAACTCACCACACGATGACTCTTATTGACGGTGAATGATTTAGAGAAGAAAGTAGATAGCAACCACCAAGAGCTTCAAACTGGCCTAGAATCATTGCTAGCAGAGTTCCAACTAATATACTCAGGCATGCTGGAGAAGTTGGATGCTCTACTACATCTTTGGACCAGGAGAGGGATTGTAAAGAAAAGGGGTTGGCTACGGAGAAAACGCTAGCAACTTGTGATGAAGCTAGACTATCCCAATTCAGACCAAATGATAGCCAGTATAAAGGAGGCAGTTCGGTAGAGGATTGGAGATGGGAGTCGTATAAGGTGGTTGGATATGCCAATCTTCGACGAATCTGACCTGGATGGGTGGGTTTTTCATGTGGAAAGATATTTCGGCATCAATCGGATGATGGAGGAGGAAAAAATTGAAGCCGTCGCGGTGGGTTTTGATGGTGAGATGATTGCGTGGTTCAAGTGGGAGGAAAGACAAGCCGATGAAGTGGGAAGAAGCGAAGGTTTGATTGCTGCAGAGGTTTCGCCCTTTACAGGATGGATCTCTAAGCACCCAAATTCTGCCGACCTGGCAAAGCACCACAGGAAGAGATTACAACCAATGGTTCGAAACTCTAGTTTCATAGTTGAATGGAGTATCGGAGGAGGTTTTGGAATACAGTTTCTAAAATGGGTTAAAACCTGAGGTAAGGGCCGAATTCCACCAAGACCTTTGGGCTTAGAGCAAATCTTTAAGGAGGCCGAAAAGATAAGAGGATGGAAATCTTATAACCAAAATGAGCCAATGGAATTCTAGCCCAATTAAACCCAAATGAATAACATATTCTAGCCCAAACCCACCTCAATTCACTAGCCCATTAAACAAACCAACAGTTCCTATAAGCCTTATCCCAGCTTGTACAAATGGACCAAACCTTTTTCCTAAATCAACCATCCCCTACAAGCTACTAACAGACACAAGGATCCAAACTAAGGGAGAAAAGGGGCTATGGTATCACTGTCGTGACAAATTCACAATTGGGCATCGGTGTAGGAATAAAGAGTTGCAAGTTTTGGTTATTAGAGAACGGGAGAAGGAGCCAGACAGTGAAGTCACGGTCGACAAGTGCGACTGAAAGCAATAGGTTCCGATGAAGAGGTTGGTGATAAATTGGGATTTTTAATTGATTTGGTGTTTGGATTAAGGGCGTAAAAGACCATAAAAGGGCATATTGTACAAGAAGAAGAGATCGCGAAGCTGATCAATTGTGGTACTATGCACTTTTGTATTCTGATTAGTTGGGTTCATTTTTTGGAAAACCCGCAAAAGGGTGTGAATGGTTATGGGATTTGTATAGATAACATTCTAAGTGTAGGTGGTCATCACCGAAACTTTTTAATTGCTTTTGGATCCATTTTGATATTTGCCTTAGTGAGGATTCTTACCAAAAAAATGGTTCGGTTATATGGAATTTTGAATTTCGAAATTGAACCACATTTCCACTTTGAGGACAAGGTGGATTTTTGGAGCGACGGGTAATTGATAGGCCCAATTAAATAAACATATTCTAGAAGGATCAAGAAGATTGGTGAAGAATGGGGCTACAACAAACTCTGTTAGAGGGGTAGAATGGAAAGGGAAAATCGATTACAAGTAGCTTATAAATAGGTACGAGTTGGTGGAGAATAGGCATGCAAATTAGTGAGTGAAAACTATATGGTGGAGAGTATATCCCTCTCGAAAGGCTGATTGTATTTCCTTTATTCATGTAATTCATCTTACCATTAATGCATTTCTATAATTTCTACAATTATTCATCTATCCTCAGGGGTTCCTTATCAGATCATATGAAAAAACACAAGTAAACGAGCCTCCATTTGAGCCTTAAAAGATAAAGGTACATGAGCAGCCACGGGTCTTCCAATATCAATAGATTGGTTGTTTCGCTCTTGTATCTTCGAAAAGGAAAGCGAGAAAAAAAATTGTGAGAGTTTCTTGATTTCGAAAGAGAGTATGTGGGTTATCCCAATAACTAAAAGTGGTGGATAGCTTAACAGTAAAAAAAAGGAGGAAGCAAGGAGCAGCACTAGTCTTTCTTGGTGTGGTCGAATGAACTGTTTTGCTTTCAAATAAGTTCGTTGAAGTCGGTTAATCAAACTTGGTCTTATTTGCGCCATTAGACTTTCGAGTGATTATAGCATGGTTTATAGATTTATTTTTTATTATTATTTTTTTATGGAAGAACTGGGCTGATCTATATGCCCTTTAGCTTAGCAGGAGTGCTTTCATGCCCCTTTACTGAGAGATGCACCATTTTGATAGGAATTGGCCTAGACCTTGTACACCTCCTTGAGCTATGTACAAATAGCATTGCTCTTTGCTTGCTAGAAAAACTGCTAGGTGACTTAGTCTTACATGTCCTTTGGAGAATATACGTTTTTCAAGTTATTAGACTGTCAGAACATTAAAAATACAGGAACTCTTAACTGGAGTTTGAAAAATGAGACACTGGTTCATTTGAACCTATAACCCATTAAGGATTTGGGAAACTGAGATGTCTTGCTGAGTTTGAGCTGCACAAGTCTTGCTAAGATTATGTCTGTGGTTGACTAAAAGGTTTTTCTCAACGCAACGCCAATAGGTTGTACCAGATGATGAAAAATTTAATAATCTTTTAGGCCAATAATGCAAGGATAATAACTGAATTCATTTCCATTATATGCTATCAAGTTTATACTCGCTGTAGTTTGTTGGTCTGGTTATCCATTTCATGTGTCTATGTTATAACTCTAATATACTAGTCGGTTAATGAAAATTTGATTTTGGAAAATGTAGGAGAGTTCTGAGGAAGCCACTAGTGGTTGACTTGAGAAAAGTGCATCACCCTTGGTGGAGGCGTGTTCAGGAAAATCAGTAAATAAATGTAACTTGCTCTTTCGATTCAGAATTCTTACTCATTTCATGTAAATGTGATTTATTTCTATTATGGGGCCAGTTATTTCAATTAATGCGGGTCCATTTCATTATAGGAAATATTGATTTTATTTGTTTTGAGAATGAGTAGTCGTGCAAGTATAACAAGTTAGTAGATAATCAGTCTATTTTTCGTTTCTTTCCAATTCTGTTATGTTTAACTAGAGGGGTCAAATTAAGTTGGATTGTTGAGGCCACGGCAGTCCAAAACTACAGCTAACGCCTGGTTTGTTGTGTTGGGTGTAAGTGTTATGCCTTATGTCCAATTGACTTTGGACAGAAACACTTTTAATATATAGTTGATGCGATTTATGGTAGATCTATTATTTAATTAATAAATATTCAATCGAATTAAATAATGGAGTCCGTAGATTTAAATCTTAATAATTTGTTAATCACAAGGAGTTGTGATTGTGAGATATAAATTACATATAATTGAATATTAAATCATTCGGATATTATCATTATGGATAGAGAATCACGTGTGACATTTTTTATTTGTAAAATAAGTAATTTATCTCATAGGCTAAAGTGGCGACACTTGAATGAATACGAGAATGTTTTGTTATAGAACAAAATATTGGAAATCAATTAAGAGATTCTACATAGATAATTATTTAACGTTTGATAGTGAAATTGGTCGTTTGACTTGAAGTCGTCATAATGCTTTATTTGAGGACAATCATGTTTTAACGGTGTTGGATGTTGCTCTAGCAAAGGCCGTTAATAAGGTATCGTTTGGGTATGTCAAGAATCGTATGAAGGTTGTGAATGACCAATAGATGATTCATCACTCTTAGATAATAAAAGAGTTTAATTTGCATTTTATTCAATTAAGTCGATAACGAAATTCTTGGTCAAGGTATACTTAGAAGTCGAAAAGGAGTTTTCGACTTATATTAACTTAATAGTGGGATGAAAGATATGATCGGTAATCGAGATTGACATACTTCCATATCTCGTAATTGATCGAATCATATTAAACAAGGGATTATAGTTTCATAATAAACGAACGAGTTTGATTTTGTCATACCACGTGATATTTTCATCATACGTATTGTCCTAACATATTGCTAGACGGCGAATGTAAATTAATGATAAATTAAAATGATGTTTTAATTTATCAATTTTGATTAGATCAAAATAATAATTCATATCGTTAGGCATCGTGATTGAGAACTTGATGTGTCACACACAAAAGGAGAGTTAGAAGATTGTGATTTGTCAATTAATTAATTTAACAAGCATAAATTGATAAATTGGATTTCTTATTTATAGGTTCGAATTAATTAATTGGATTAATGAATTCACGGATCGAATTTAATTAAATAAGTTAATTAAATATTGGATTGGGTCAGGTCAAGCCCATTTGGGCTTGTATAAATAAGTGATTATGATTTTCAATTTGTAGAGAATTTCATTCTTGCTAGCACAAGAGGAGAAAAATCTTAGTTCCTACAATCTTATTCTTTGTGTGGAATTCGATTGAATACTGGACAATTGGACAGTTGTGGGTGACAGATTAAGATTGCTAGAAGAAAAAAAGCAAAGGAGTTTGCAAATTTTGTAAAAAGGTATGATTTCTATTTAAATACAAAGAGATCCTTGGTGGGAATTGAAATTTGTTTTTTTTTTCGCTGCACATGATATATAGATTCCTAACAGTGGTATTATGACCAACTTTGTGTTTGATAGAAATTGTTTAGCATTTTTGTGCAATCAAAAGTTGATTGTTATGCTTCAGGCGATGGCTTCAGGAGTGGCAGATGCGGCCACTGCACTCAGCTGCGACGTTTGAACAGTAATTTAATACTTAATTAAAATATGATTTTAATTAATTATTCACTTGAATATATTCTAGAAGTTAGAATTACATTCTAATTTGACATTTAATCAAAATTTTATTTTAATTAAATTCTTTTGCCCTAAAATTTTTCTTAAAATTAGTATTGGACTCTAATATGTTGTTTAATTAAAATTTAATTTTAATTAAACATGTTCACACTAAAATCTTGGTATTAGAGTTGGACTCTAATTTTGTTATTTAATTAAAATTTGATTGTCTTAAATTTTGAAATTAGAGTTAGACTATAATTTAATATTTAATTTTGATTTTTAATTAAATAATCCCACCTATAATTGTGGAATTAGAGTTGAACTCTAATTCATTATTTAATTAAAATTTGATTTTAATTAAATATGTCCGCTAATTAAATTTTTTTATTAATATGATTAATTAATTATTTAATTGTTTCGATCCATTTGTCTAAAATAGTCTAGACGACTTTAATTGCTAGAAACTTGAAACATGTTTACATATAATATTAGATATTATATAGGAAGATTTATGTGATGAATGTATTATTAGTGGACGATTATGGATTCGACCATGTATATGTGTTGAATGATTAATTTTATTCTTGTCATTTTATGAGCCTATGAGCTCTTAATTGCTTTGAACTTGGGAGCCTGTTATTGTTGTTATTATTATTGGCCTGCGACCTTTTAATTATTTTTGGACCTGTGAGTCCGTTATGGGTCTGCGAGTTCAATTTTATTTAGGCCCGCATGCCAACTAGTATAGTATGCAAGTTGCAGTTGAACTAAATGAAGAAACTAGAAGAGGAGGAGGTCATGGAGATGGAGCATTGTATGAGTCAATGCAATACCCCCTAAGAATTGATCAACTAGGTCTTCCTTATGGCTCGGGAAGACTAAATAGTAAATGTCCATAATCGTCCACACTATTATATTATATATATGTTTTTTTGCATTGTAGATGTATAATAAAATATATATGATTGTTACGATAAGACATTTGAATGCAAAACCTTTAATAAAATATTAAGTCATAGTTTATATTCGGCTTTCATCATTATAGTAAAAAACTAGAGTTCTCAATTGATCTCAATTTGTTGAGTATATTCAAGACTGGTCTATTATGAATATGTTTGACATTATGGAATTCAAATATTTCTGAATGATGGGTTCAACTTAACTAAAGTTTGTTTTTTGTTGAATACACTCGACGAGATGAATTTTAAAGACATATTAAACTAACACGTAAGATGTGTGAAGATAAGGAGTTGTGAGCTTAATGATTTAGTAGTTGTATGCAGATACAATTGATAATAGTATTTACCCATATGTTGTATTAAGGTTTGTTGAGTACATTCAAAATCTTAATATAACAAATGAGATTCCAACCCACTGGGAGTCAAGTATGAATTCCATCGATTTATACGAGAGGGTCATAAATTTGAGTTAAACAGTGAGAGCATAATTAGTTTAATAAAAGTCCATGTTAAATTAAGTGATGCGTTTTATATATTATTCATTTTCTTTTCGTCATTAATATTGAATCTTGAGCGACCATATGTATTTGAGAGGCATACTGGATGTCAACAATCAAATTAAATCTTCTTGATTGGCATCGCAATTTGAAAATTGTTCTCAGTTAGTTGTCCTTAAATAGCCCTTTTTAGAGACATCTGTTGATGACTCAATTAAGGAAGAGGTAGCTGCTAGAATAACACGGTGATAACAATAGTACCGTAACATGTGATGTTTGCATTACGTCATCTGAGTTACAAAAGCAACATGAGAGTATAAATGCTAATGTATGATTTTTCATTTCAAAAAGTTGTATGATAATAATCATGTATAGAAGAATATGAGACTTTCGAGCAACTATACCGATGCAAAGTGGCAGAGGAATCTTCAGTCAATGCTCATGTACTGAAGATAATTGGCATCGAGAAGTTGTCTCAATTAAGGTCGATTATAAATTAGGCCTAAGTATTGACTTAGTTCTGAATCTCTGTCAGAAGGTTATTCATACTAATTATGAATTATGATATGAATAAACTTGAATGCACACTCATTGAGTTTCTTAAGACTGTTAAGCCTAGCATTAAAGTTAGTAGTGGGCAAGTCATTGATTTCTCTAAGGGTATTAAAAGGAAATCTAGAAGGGGGTTTTAGGTTAGCATCCAATATGGCTAATACGGTCAAAGCAAAGGATAATACCAAATCTAATGACCCTTACTTTCATTATAGAATGAAAGGTCATTCGAAGAAATATTGTAAGGTTTATGTCTGCTTCATGAGTTTCTTAGGTATTTGATACTAGATGTGGATCTTATATTTGTATAAATATGGAAAAATTATATAGAAATAGACCACTGCAAAGGGAAGAAGTTGACCTACACGTTGAAGATGAGCAAAGGTTGCTGCATTGCCTGTATGAGCATACTTCTTGTTGTTGCCTTTAGGCTTAGTGTTAGAATTAGAGAAATGTTGCTTTGTACCCACCATTACCAGAACATTAAATAAATTTCATGTTTGGACATTACTTATTTTAATGTAGGACGATTGTTGTTCATATTTATCTTGATAAAGATCTTAATGGTTATGGTAAATTACAAAATGACATTTATATTCTAAAATGCTAAACATTCTATAATGAGTATAGAAGTTAAGAGAAAAAAATGTGATAATTTGAATAATACATAAATCTGACATTACAGACTTGGTCATATAGATGAAATGTAATTCCAAAATTATAGAGAGATGTATCCGTAGGGTCAATTGATTTTGAATTATGTGACAAGTGCAAATCCTGCTTATTTGGCACAATGACCAAATTTGTTTTTACTTGAAAAAAAAAAGAAAGGTTTGAATAAATGTCAGATGAGGTTTCTCTTATTTCATCAATGATCAAGTGTACTTGATGAAATTTAAGCACGAAGCCTTTGAAAGATTCAAGGGATTCAAGCTAAAAGTAGAGAAACAAATAGGCAAAGATATTCTCACATTATGATCCGATCGATGTAGGAGTATCTTAAAGATGAAATTTTAGATTATCTAAAAGATAATAAGATTATCTTGCAATGAACTCCTCCACATACACTGCAACGTAATGGTGTATTTTAAAGGAGGAATCGTAAACTATTAGATATATTGTGATTAATAACAAGCCATTCAAACCTCCCAAAATCATTTTGGGTTCATGCTTTGATTGCAGTGTGCTACACACCAAATCGTGTCCCATCTAAATCAGTCGATAGAACTCTATACGAGTTATGGAAAAAAGGAAAAGTCCCAATTTAACTCATGAAAGTTTGGGGCTATGACGCTTATT